ATTTTCCGCTGATAGGTATTTGGTTTTCCGTCTTTTAAACAACCCTGTATGATCGGTTGAATCTGCGGAACTGTTTGGGTTCGAGACTCTTAAGTGAAAACACAATGATCCTATTTTATTAGACTAAGGTCTACATAAGCAATTGTAGTTTCTGTTTTTCTTGGGTATGTCAGGTCTACTTAAATATCCATCAACGATGAACAAAAAGTATTGACAATATATTTCGTTATGCTCCTGTAAATCAAACACTAGAATTACTTCCTACCACAAATCTTAACTTTACCAAAAGGATATATATGTTGGATTGTTTACGTTTCTTCTAGTCCAAATGTATGTAAGTTATCTTCATGCAGGTAACGCAAACTGTAAAAAGGTTGTATTTCGTATAAAGCGTGCCATTATGCAGCAAGTTTTTTTGGAAATCTTGTATTTTTACAATTAGAGTTGTAAAACATGGTGTGAAAAACATCTCCTTTTTCTTTCTTTTTGTATTCAAATCTAGATAACTACCTAGGTAATTAATCCTCAATTCAATTAATTTTTTTCTCAAATGATAAGAAGAAACAAATCAATATCCTTTTGATGTCCAGCAGAAATTCCAAGTAATTCGGAGTCTTGGCATAGCAAAGATACATTATATTATTTTAATCATATCAGTTGACTCTAATACTAGGACTACATGATTCGACTTGCTAATATTTAGTGAATATAAACTTTAAATACCAACAAATTAAAAGTGATGCTAAAAAAAAATGAATAAGATGTGTTCCACATTGCACTTACTGGCGTATGCAGAGCTTTTAGAACTGTCAATCTATTGTCACACCATTAAACTATTCATTGTATTGTGGTGCATTAAATACCAGGTTTTGCACATCCATATAACGAGTGAATATATATCTTCCACCAGTCGATTAACACATATAATAAAAACAAACTATCTAGCCGATGTTTGTCTCCTCGCAGAATAATCGTTTTATCCACATTACTCACTGGGCCTTTACGAACTACCCTCCTTAAAGTCCTGAAACGTAATCATTATTTTTATCCAATCCTTTCCTCTCTAAATAAAATCGAAAGAAAACGTATTCACTTCGGGAAAGGCCCACTCCGATACGGTTACTGAAAAGGAAAATAAATCACTTTCTATAACCGATCTATTTTCACTAAATGTGTGCTCTTTGTTTGACACCATCACCTTTTGTTTTCCTTTGTTTACGGGGGTTTTGCTTTAAATATATTTTAAATTCATTTCGTCCTTTATCTTAATATCGAGTAAACAAAATGATGATTCCTCTAAAAGATAATTAATTTCAAACTACTTGTCTTATCTTTATTAACCTTAAGTCCATTTATTTTCAAAAGCTTTCCTTGAAACATTTCTACCCGCCCTACAGAGTTAACATCGTGTAAAACATTTTTATCATCCACATTAATAACTTGTCTAATTTCATCTCTCCTATCAGATTGAATCTGTTGACCATATTTTGCTTTCTGATCGTGTTTGCCAAAATCTCTTTTACTATTACAAATAAATAAGGCAAGAAAGACCCACCTTGGTGTACCTCAAGTTTTATTTAAAAATATGTGGGATGCCCCCCGTTCATAACACAGGTATGTACTTGTGAATATAATGATCTTAACCAATTCGCTTTACGACGTCCTCAGAACAAAGTTTCTTCAGAATTTTGAATAAAAATGAATGCGAAACAAAATCAAAAGTCTATGCAAATCTATCAGAAACTTGTTAGTTTTTCATGACTTCGAATAAAATAACACATCGTCAATCAAATTTACAGCTTCTCCCGTTTTGTCCGTCTTTCATATATCCTACCTGGTCAGTATGATTAATATCACTTCAAGCTTCTTCTATTCTCTTAGCCTAGGCTTTAAAAAATACCGTATCATCTGCATTCATGTTGTTAATGTTAGGCTTCCTGGGACAAGTTTCAATTATTCAATATAAATGTTTGGCTTGCACCCGGTAGATCAAGCTCGCGTGCTCGATCTTGTAATTAAAAACAAGTCCGATCTTTATCTAATAATAATAATAATAATAATACTAATAATAATAATAATAAATTTATATAGCGCAGCTTTTATACAAAATATATTCAGCTGCGCTGGTTAAGAGCTCCTTTTTACTAAATTCTACAAAATAAGATCTCTCAGTTGAACAAATAAGTTTTTTAATTGGATTTAAAAACATTGAGAGATGGAGTGCTTCGTATGTCTATTGGCAGGCTATTCTATAGGGGCAGCAATAGCAAAAGCACGGTCCCCAAGAGTTATTTTAGTTTTGCCATGGGGAATCTGAAACAATAATCTATCTGTGGAACTGCGCAGGCTATGACTGTGTGAATCGACTTTGAGTTGGAGTAATTCTGTGATGTAATTAGGGGCTTGACCACTCAATGATTTATAGACAATTAACAATATTTTGAATGAGATTCTTTGACGGACTGGCAACCAGTGGGGTTCTTTCAGAAGAGGTGTGGTTGAAGTGAATTTCGACCCACGATAGACAGTAGACAAGTCACTACTAACTGAGATCCAAAAATCTCTTCACAACAATCGAGTTTTAATATTGTAATAGCCTAAGGTGTATTCAATTGGTACAAAGAAATGTTTGGCTTGCACCCGGTAGATCAAGATCGCCTGCTTGATTTTTTAATTTAAAAAAAAGTCTGATCTTTATTTACTGAGTGGAAGCCAACAATTTCTTCACAGCAATCGAGTTGTAGTATTGTAATAGGTTTTTAGTTTTAATATAAAATTAATCTTTTTTTACTTCTCAATTGGTGTGATAACCCCTTGTTTTGTGTAACCTGTAACGTATGCTTCATTTAATGGTGCTATAACGTCATAACATATTACATGTAAGAATCTACATTCAAATCAACTACTCCGGCTTGTATTTGTAATCATAATTTTTGCATTTATCATTATTATGTTGTTGTTGTTTTTTTGCATTCATTACAAATATACAAAATTACTGTAAATGGACGAATTTACTTTTTCAAAATACCCCATCGGACAAATTTTTAGTTTCGAAGTTGGATTTTTGTTTCCTTCAACACACTTGACAAATCTTTTTACGCGTAAATTTAAAGACATAAACTATTGCTAAACTTCCAGTACTATCTTCCTTGTTATCAATATTTTCCTTTACTAAATGCAAATTCAAAATCAACTATTTTGTAGCGTTGTGTACCATAAATCAGGTCCAATTTGAAATTGGATATTTATAAACAATACTCTCACTAGTGGTTTCTTTGACGAGCTGCCACGGAGGTCCTCATATCTACCCGCTAGGAAAACCCCTATATATTATACTTTTTAAAATAATATGAATGCTATTTTCTTGGAGTTTAATGCGAACGGCAGCAGTAACTTGTTTTGTTGTATTGTCACACCTGAGTTTATACATACATACAAACGTTTTTTTTTTAATAATTTAAATAACGTCATTCTCCAATTGTATTCATAATTATGCACGTAATATGTACTATTAACTTACCTTGACAGGGTATAAACCCTGAACTTCAGTTAAAAACAACCCCGTCTATCAGACTAAAAGCTTCATCCTCTTTATGCTGAATCCTTAACATGTTTCTACTCAACACAGTGGTTGAGTGACCCATGGCAACTAATATTGATAGAAAAATCAAATGAACAGCACCATTACTTTTGGTGTAGTAAGCCAACCCGTTATGAGCCGTCGTCCTCGTTGGCGTATTTTGCGGGGAAAGAGTATTTTTGTTGTTGTATTTTTGGTCGGTCTCTAGGGCAGTATTATGTTTGTGTTCTAACATGTTTGAAATATTGTCAGGAAGGAAGCTCTAAAATCAAAATACAAGAAATACGCCTATATACTACAATGTTTTGAGAACGGGACAATGAATGAACTATCTGTAAAGGTATATATTTCTATCATACATGTTGCTGTGAAGCAGACATTCGTCTCACCTACGGATCAATTCAAAATTAAATATGGAAGCAAGATTCAGGTCAATCTGGTAAATGGTAGTTGGAGTAGACTTTACGTTTATTTTGATTGGATTGGATGTTATTATTTATAACACATTTGTCGTCAAATTGTGCCGATATTGATGGGATTATTCTGATCTCGGCAGCACGTTCAGTAGGTCTGTGATTAGATTGTCTTGTTCTTCGGATATTTCTACACGGAATCTGCTCGTTCAATACAGAGTCAACCAAATCCCAAATGTTCGTCGTATGCCACAAACAAGGTGAGGCGTTTTGTTTGTTGCCCCTTCTCGTGAACGGAAGCTTTTCGATCCCCCCCCCCCCGCCCCTTGCACTATGCATTCTCTCAGTGATTGTGGTTTTTGCTTACTGAATACAACAGCACGTACACCATGACACATGTGTACCGCTGCGCTTACGGAATTATCAACCACCAGAGTTGCAGGTTTTCTGGAAACAAACACATACCAAGCATTCGTTAGATGCTAAAAATCAGGTGAGCTGCTTTACTGAAATTTGAAGGCTCTGTTATGCTATGGATAAAGTTTGTATAGGTGCAGAATTGTGGCATTCAAAGTTGCCAAATGCTTGGCAAAGGTAGAATTGAGCAAAATAAAATAAGGAAATATCCATCTTCCCATAATTCATATTTTTTTGGTCTTTGAATTATTTTGTCTTACATGGATATTCACATAATATTCTCAAAGTCCTACCACAAATAATTATTTTCCCCTGTAAAATCTCTCATCTTTTTATTTTAGTTTAATTTTTCTATTTTTGTTTGCATGTTTGTGGGGAGGGGTGAGATTAGACTTATGATAACTTCAAATAACACTTTGTTTTTAGTGATTACCCCCTTACCCGAAAATGTGGGTGATGTTTCATTTTCACACACACGCACACATGCTCGCGCGCGCAGGTGTACGCATGTAATACCTGCCTCCTCATTGTTAACATAACAACTACCCCCCCCCCCCCACACTTAATTGAGAGGGAAAAATAAGATAAATATGGAGTTTAATGCAGGTAAAGCATACATTGTGGTAGTTGGACTCAACTGTTTCGTTTCTGGTAAAAAACACAACCAACATTAAACAACATTTGACGTTTATGAAAAGGGACAACTGAATATAATAATCATAAATATATCAGTGCGCGCAGTATGACTAGTGGATAAGTGCACTTACTGATGTTCACAACTCCTAATCTGCTCGTTTGATACACTGACAAATAATAATCAAGTAATTATCAGATGCCACAAACCAGGTGAGGCGTTTGACTGATAAAAAGGGAAAAGTATATTATAATACTTGCCTCCAAATATATATCCGGGCATCCGAGAATGAGTATTTTGGGGAATGGCTGAGCTATGTTCTAGCACAATAAAGATAAGTAAAAACGTTAACGGTAATATTGTCCTGTCACCGATATGTATAGCACAATATTGACCAGACGTCATGAGGCTGTTGTTATTATGGTATGATATTATCATTTAATCTTTACAAAAAGATTTTTTATAGAAATAAGTAGGCCGGCATTCTAAAAATGTTACTGTGCAGTGAACAAGAGATGAGTGTCAAAATTGTGCTTTATTTGTATATTTCTTCATTTGCTATTTTGTAAAATATTTTCTCTAAAGCGTACTTGTTGTAACTTTATATTTTGTTTAATTTTCTGTTTATTCCTAACTTTGAGTTTTTTGATGGACTTGAAAGGGGGTGAGCTAGACGTACCAAGTGTATTCTTTTGTATTATGTCTGTTTTGTTAATCAGTTTCCTATCATGATAATAATATGTAAATCGCGCAATATTGTAAGAAACCATATTCCTCACGAATCCTTTCGATTGCTGTGCTTTGCATCATACCTTTTGTAGACTTGAATCATTGATAAAAGGCGATAACCGATTTTCTTGAATTAGGACGCCGCAGTCTCCTTCTCTTAATTTCGTGAACAGCTCCATTAGCTAGCTGCTTGAAACGGGTGAGAGAAGAAAACAAGGAAGATTCTTCGTCATCTCTCAAACTTCTCCTTCTCGGCCTAGTTGTAATATCACATGTGTGGGCCTACGCGCTGCTTAGTCTTGGTGAGGTTGACACTGAGAAACCATTCTGTCAGGCTTTCCCTTGCTGTTTTGACCCACTCTGTAAAAAAATGCGTGACACAGTTACTGCTATTGTTTACCTCTCGTTTTGATATTCCACTAAAGGAAAACAATGGAATATTTTGTGATAAATGGGATGATTGTAAAAGATCTGACAACAAAATATGTGGTAGGAAGAGGGAGTGGGGGGCTTGAAATACATTTGCATACAGCAACGAATACCTATTGACTGAAATGAACATCTGCGCTACAGATTGCATACTACAAATGAACACGTTTCAAACAGTGCCAAACAAACTCCAAGCATTTATCGCATGCCACAAACCAAGTGAGGCGTTTGATTTTTCGCCAACCGTTATAATGATCACGATAACTGAAAAACGTACTTTACACATAGGAATTGAATTCGATTTTTTTTTAAAGCAAATGTTTCTGTATTTATTGATAAATCAAATATAAAACATTCAAATAACAATACTAGTATATAATATAATTGATTTACATAAAAAGTGACAACTTAAATACACACACATACAAATGCATATATATAAATAATGGAAAACTTGGGGCTTCTTCTTTTGCATTATCGACTCCGAAGTATATAATATTATAGGAATGCCCCCCCCCGTTTTTTTTGTTGTAAAGAAATAGATATATAAAATAAACAAAAAGGGAAAGGGACGAACTAATTTCTTAAATTACAAAAAACACGCAACAAACACTGTACCTAACCCTAACCTAGCCTCCAATTCAGACGTCCTCGCAATAAACCATATAGCAATGCTTACCTTAGACCAAACACTGTACCTAATCCTTATACTAAACTCAATTTAAGACGTCATATCATCAAACCTGATTGCAACACTTACTCTAGACCAAACACTGTACCTAACCCTAACCCTAACCTCCATCTGAGACGTCCTGACATCAAACCTGATTGCAACACTTACCCTAGACCAAACGATGTACCTAACCCCAACTTGTGTGTTTTTAAAGATTACACTTAAAATTACGAATTGAAAAACTATACTTGTATCTTTATATTGAGGATTATGTTTTCCGTGCATGTTGTTAAAGTTACTATCTGTTGTAAAGTCATATCACTCCTCTAACTCTTCCTTTTTCCTTCCCTTTTCTCTGTTTCCATCCATCTCTCTCTCTCTCTCTCTCTCTCTCTTTCTCCTTGTCTCTCTCTTTTATTCTCTCTCTTCCTTTCTCTATGTCTCTCTCTCTCTCTCGCTCCTCTCTCTTTCTGTCTCTCTAAACTCCGTCCCTCTATGTCTGTTTCTCTATCGCTCTCTTATCTATATATTCCCATTTCTCTTCTAATACACACACGTCTTTTCTTATCTTTTCATGTCCCCAATATTTTCTTTTTTCTTCCTCTTTCGTTTCTCCTCGCTCCCCTTTTCTCATTCTTACATTGTTGTTGGATATATTATCGCCATATTTTATCACATTTTATTCAACATGTCTCATTAATTGTAATGCATATTTCTTGACCATTCAATTCTGTTGATTTTATTCTAAATATGATACTCTAATAATGGCTTTTTATTGTCAATGATTTTCATGTACATCTTGACATGACATTGCCATTGTAAACTTTCGCAATTTGGCATTGTGGCCGCGAGGAAAGTATTTTAATAAACCATTTCAAAGCACCCTAAGCCTACACCTAACACTTTTTCTTACCCCCGACAGAACCCTTCATCCTAGACTCTTCCTTTTTCCTTCCCTTGTCTCTGTTTCCATCCATCTCTCTCTCTCTTTCTCCTTGTCTCTCTCTTTTATTCTCTCTCTTCCTTTTTTTCTCTCTCTCTCTCGCGCTCTCTCTTTCTGTCTCTCTAAACTCCGTCCCTCTATGTCTGTTTCTCTATCGCTCTCTTATCTATATATTCCCATTTCTCTTCTAATACACACACGTCTTTTCTTATCTTTTCATGTCCCCAATATTTTCTTTTTTCTTCCCCTTTCGTTTTTCTCCTCGCTCCCCTTCTCTCATTCTTACATTGTTGTTGGATATATTATCGTCATATTTTATCACATTTTATTCAACATGTCTCATTAATTGTAATGCATATTTCTTGACCATTCAATTCTGTTGATTTTATTCTAAATATGATACTCTAATAATGGCTTTTCATTGTCAATGATTTTCATGTACATCTTGACAAGACATTGCTATTGTAAACTTTCGCAATTTGGCATTGTGGCCGCGAGGAAAGTATTTTAATAAACCATTTCAATGCACCCTAAGCCTACACCTAACACTTTTTCTTACCCCCGACAGAACCCTCCATCCTAGACGTTCTAACCTTAAACCCTATTACACCCATTAACCTATACCAAAAACAGTAACTAACCGTAAATCTAGCCCCAATCCTAGACGTCCCTACTTTAAAACATATTCAAACCCTTACCCTAAACCAAACACTGTACCTAACCCAAACCTTCTTATCAGACATCTTAACCTTAAATCTTATTATAACCCTCACCCTAAGTCTAACACCTTATCTTTGACGAAATAAAGCCCGCAACAATAGTCGGCGGAGCGTCATTATGTCGACGGATTAATGCATTGTTTTTTAATTATGACCGATTAGGTCCCTGTGTTGGAACAAGAGAATCTTAATTTTACGAAAATCATTAATCGGGACAAAATACCCTGTATAAACCTTTTCATAAATCAATCGACCGTATATACTTCTTTGAGTGATCTTTTTTTTTAAATCCATTTATTACCCAATTATCGTGCTTCTCTTATGCAAGATTTAAAATCCCTTCAGCCTCTTGGGTTATTTTGGCACCTGTCAAGAACACAGGGGGGAGGACGTTTCACGAGGCCTTTTTTAATGACAAATGACAAAAATCAGTGACAAATCTGCTGATAACCAATCAGAAGCAAGGATTTCAGTAGCTTATAACAAAACGTGCCATTTGTCACTGATGACAAGTTTTGTGAAACGCCTACCAGGTCTACCGTTATAACGGCAGCCCCCCCCCCCCTCACACGTCTACCCCTCAGTCGAAATGTTCCCTAACGAAAATAACAATGGAAAGATCTTGCTATTCACTTAATATCACATCTTGTTTTGTTTCTCCTTGACTACTTCCAGGTTCCATACCTTGTAGTACTCCGTATGTTCCTCCCCATTCCACGGTGGAAAATCTCCGTCTGAATTACAACTTCACAGACAAAGTGAATGTGACGTGTGATGCCAGTGGTTCTACCTTCACCCTTCAATGTCACAACAAAGGATTATGGAGCGGACCCGTTGTATCCTGTCCACCGCCCGCCCTGCTCGAACCCTCCGCTACAGGTATTTGATTGTGGATGTTTAATATTAATCATCAAAGGAGTTGGTGGAGTATCGCAATCTGATTGTTGTCTGACTTGCACAACTGGCAATCGACAACAGATGTTTGTCACAGGCTGCATATAGCCCTTTTTCGATTATCAACAACATAACCAATATGATCTGTTGAAGCAAAGCAACTTTTAAATTGCTGTAATAGTGAAATTAATGTTGTCGTACTTTTGAGTATAATCTGGACTGCATATTGGTTATTTAATATAATGATACTATACTTATGATCATTATCATGATCACTTTTTAACTTTTCATATGTTTTCACATTCCACCGTATAATAGGAATTATACATTCTTTTTTACTTCAATAACTCATATTAACCCTCGTCGCTATTGTATTCATGCAACTTTGTGTATATTCCGATTTGTACTGTTTTACGAATCTTACAATCAGTATTAACATTGTATTTTACTTGCAAGTTGTAAAAGTTGCCAAGTTTAGTCTTTGATTGAATTTGATTGGATTGAAATTAATTGAGGTGAATCGACTTGTTTCCAAAATACAAACATAATTGAATACCAAAACAAAATATTGAGAACCATGGTGATGAGTCTGTTTTCTTCTGGAATATGTTATCCAACATTTTGCATAACGCAAACAGTCGGTAGTAATGATTCACCTTTTCAAGCACATTTTAATTTCTACCCAATCATGATTCAAGTGGATGATAAATGTACTGATGATGATGATAACCTTTGGTCATATATTTATATCATCCATGCAGTTGCTGCTGGCAAAGCTCAATGCAGTGCCCCGGCGGTGCCTCTTGACTCAAACATTCAGAATCTTCGTCTCTCCTACAAACATCGTGACATAATAAATGTGACATGTAACGAAGTGACTAACGGGGTTCCTGAATGGTTCGAATTGTCATGTGTCAACGGAATTTGGAACGGACAAAATATAGTCTGCCCTGACCCTGTGAAAGGTAATAATGGGCCGCAATGTGATTTCACACACACTCATGCACACACACACAAATACGCACACATATTTTTAAAATGCATATCGGAGAGAACATTACACTGTTCGTATATAACCAGATGAGAACTGTCATGTAACTGGTTGGCTATTAAAGAACGTACAGTTTATTTTTTTAAACCGATATTCCACTATTTACCATTACTTATTCATTTGTTCATATATTCATTTATTCATTTATTCATTGTTTTGTAGAATGCAACCAACCAATCCTACCAGCAGATTCATCGGTTAATACAATAAGGGCTCGGTACAAGATTGGTACCAACGTCAACATCACATGTAAGAGTGCGTCTGTTTCGTTCGTTTGGATTTGCGACAAGGATGGCCTGTGGCGCGGATCGGTCGTTTGGTGCCCAGTTCCACAACCGCCTAATGGCGGTGCTGCAGCAGGTATGTACTCACTGCTACTTAAGAAAATTACCTTTTTTGTTTGAATATAGCCTTTATTATTTTTTTTTTCTTCATTTCTACAAAATGCTCCTATCGTGTTTTGTTTTCTTTATGATAGCGATATCAATCCTGTTTTTCTTTCAGTGTAATGAAAACACGTGTACAGTATTGTTTACAAGTAATTTGCCTTTGTTTTGTTGATGTTTTTGTTTGAATTGTTATGGTTGTTAACAGCGGATGACATTTGTTAACCTAATGTGCAACTGGTCCCTACTTTTCATTGTGCCTCCTTGTCATTTTCCCGTCCTGTCTTAAGAGCAACATGTTTAAATCTCCTTTATTTCCCCCAACTATAATCATTCATCAGTCCAAGCATAACAATTTAGAATTTTGAAAACATTGGAGCAAGAAAAATATTTCACAACGGTAATCGAGTAGCCGCAGTTAAAGGCAATGGAAATGTGCAAGACCAAATTAAAACCCTTGGCCATTTCCGCTATAAGTATATTTTCCTTAAAAAAGTTATTTCTTAAGTTTACTCAGATGTATATAATATTGGAATGGGAAACAACACTATTTTTTGTTCAATATAATCCAGGTTTCACAACATTGTGGATCTGTTTTTACTTCGACAACAATTCACTTCATTTGCATTTATTCCATATATGTTTCAACATCAAAAGTCGTGTTAAAATCACCCTTCTCTTTTAAACAAAATAGTGCAATCGGATTCTTGTTTTAGCTCAAATTTTGAAAAAAAGATAATGTATAATTATGTGAAATTATGTTTAGCTTTATACAAGGAAGAGCGTGTTAGCAAAACTTTATTATATCCCATATATGACTAAAATATTTTTTTCTGAACATTTCTAATGGAAACTTCTTCATAATCTCTTTACAGGGAGATTTGGAAATAAAGAACCCCAGGAGAAGCAAAATGGACGAAATGTCTTCATCACAGGCCTTCTAGTAGCAGCAGTGATAATGTTCATTCTAGTCCTGATGTCCATGGTAGCCTTCTCGATCTCCGTTAAAGGGTAATAAGGACCTTAGTTCACTGGACATTTTTGTCTTCCCTTTTTTTTTACATAATTTTTTTATAAAGAAACTATTTGTACCGCTTATTTATATATATTTTTGTTTTGCTTTTAAGCCATTGAACTTGTTAATTAATTATAATGAATTAGACAATACCGCCTGTGCGCTTATAAACGCCCGTATTAAGCGCCCTATAAATGTAAATATTATTATTATTATTACTGCAAAATCGAAAATAGCAACGGAAACATACATAATTAAGATTTTCGTCTTTCCCTCAGTCGGAGTAAATTGCAAGGATGAACAAAGTTCGGAAGGACTATTGCATTACTGAAGCTTACGCATTGATACAGCCCGCGGACATTAGACAGCCAATCACAACCCGTCAATTATCCGCGCGCTTGTTCCTATAGTTTGTCAGTTTACGCTGCTATCATTTATTTGCGTTTTTTAAGGGGGGGGGGGGCGTTAAAATGTTGAACAAGAAAAGGGTAAGAATAGGCCAGATTACTTTTGGGTATAATTTGTATAAAGAGAAAATGACAACAATTAATTAAATTATGGGCGTAGTGGGTGGCTGTATGCAAGGGAATGCCAATATTCGTAACTTTATATTATGTTGAAACACATAAACAAAAATTGGAAGCTTCACTTCATCAGAAGATTTGCCATTTACTACGATTATTCTCATGTTTGAATTTTACTTTCAGCCAATTAACCGTTTTAGCACCCCTAACCCCAAACGAAATGTTACTTATTCTTTGAGAAAAAAAACGAGTTACAAATATATTGATGAATTTTATATTTTTGTCATTGTTATAGTGTTCCTTTGCGGTACATTATATATGTAAACAGGCCCTACTTTGTGTTACTTTCAGTATTTTGTTACTAACATTACTTTCATAAATCTGCTATTTAATGACAGACGGAGCTTTGGACCATCGAAACATTCCTTACAAGATGAGAGAACTGACCGAGGACCACTCCCCGAGGTTCCTGCAGGGTACGCGGATTACCTTGTAGGTGATAAGTCACTGTACACTGCACCATACTTGAAACCAGACGAGATTCACCATAGCTATGAGACCTACGAGAAACCAATTTAACGTCACCTGACTCTTCTCTTCATACTAAATGAACCAACAATGAACGGAACTTTTAAGTGCAAATTTGTATGATTTACTAATGATTAAATTTTAGTTTTAGAGCATGCTCTTGTTTGAAACAAATACTCAATTACCCCTTGGTCTCTATTGCGTAAGGGTCATGAATGTGAAAAGTAATATCAAATATCTTCGCAATTTACATTGCAAAAGTGAAGTTTCTTACTTTTTATTTCATGCTACTAACACTAACTGAACTGAACCGAACGGAAGAATGAAACAAATATATTCATTTTATTTACCATACACTTGCTTAAAGTCATTTTTTCCCTGATGATTAGCTGAATACGTGACTACGTACAATCTCCCTTGACCTGCCTGTCAATCTTGTGTAATGATAATAAACCAACCCCTCAAAAAAATTAGAAACTCAAGTTTGATCATGTATATCTCTCTTGTCATGGCATAGTAACGTTTACGTTTATGATTACTAGAAAGTAGTTTTATTTTTGGTTAACGATACCCTATTAGTTTTGATTTGTTCTAGTCATGAAATGTGTACTAGATGTAAATAATGCCGCGGTCAAAAGTAAAAATATTGCGAAATTAACTTTTCTTCTTCTTAATAATAATAATAATAATAGTGGGTTCTTGTATAGCGCCTTTCCAACAGTTGTCAACCTAGGTGTTATGTTTTAAGTTGGCATGACACCAATAGTGCATGGATTTCAATATCATTTCCATTCCTATGTTACATTGATCAAGCTTCCGATAATTTATATTAATCAGTTTAATTTGAATATTTAACAAGAGTGTATGAAAGCGTTACACATTTACACAGATAAGATATTAAATGTATTTCCCGTATTGCCTTTATGTAATGATGAAACGGTTACACATCTAATCAGAAAGCAGTAAACGATTCTTAAAAAGTACAAATTCTCAAGATGCAATGAGAGAACATATCTTATTTCTTAGGATATATGATCTTCATTCGGGTGTTAATTTCTCAATTTTCAGCTTCCTTCCAGCACTTGACCATTTATCTGAATACCTGGGTTATAACTGCAAATTTAAGATATTATAACTTGTTGATGTTATATGGAATATCACTTTGATATGCAGAAAATACCCTTCATTAAATGATGTTGGATTGAGGTCACACACGGATGTATTCATCCGATTGGTTTTTGTTTGTCGCCACGAAATCTGTGAATTTATAATATTTTGCATTCTTGATTGTTTAATGGTTTTCTAATTTCGGAGTCTAAAGGAAGTTTTATTTCGAATTCGTTTAGGATTATTGAATAAAGAGTATGGTACTTAAACGAAGTTACATGTTCACCTTTAAATCTACATTTTGATACTAGCAATACATTCGTAATGGTTCTCGTAACCCTCTTTTATTACAATTTGGTACCTATTTTCTTAGTATCCAGGTTGGGGTTACTTTTTTCTGTCCCCTTCTTTCATTTTATTATTTGACTTTATTTCATTTTAATTTACCCTTTTTTAAGGGGGGGGGGGAACTCGGTATCTTTATTTTTTATTACTCGATCTCTTTCTTCTAAAAACATATGGAATCAAAATCCATTAAAAGTATGTCGTAGTTCCACAACATAAAGAGTGCATACAGTGAGCGATTTCAAGTCGGTGTTAGTGTTAGTTCTTAGAGCAGTCAAGAGCTCTTAAATTGAGCAAAGTAATTTGCTGATGATATTAAGAGCCTGATACCGATATCAATGTCGAAAGCTTAACACCGCAGTGGCACCGTGACATCGCCACACAGACTTGATTTCACGACGATCCTTTAAAAATAGTACTTCAAAAAATATGATATCATCAAAAGCACAAAATAAATTTACACTTATTTCTCTGGTCTTATTAGATAACAAATTTTACACAAAAGAATGTATGAATCACAAAGTAAAGGACCTGATTCTCATATTCTTTATTTGATTGTCAGACAATACATTGGCGTCGTTCGTGCGTTGACTGTTTTGCTGGTAAAACACTAAAACCGAACTGAAAATCCACATTTGCTTAATCCCTAGGGGCTAGTGTTAGTGAATAGGACATGTGTACGTAAAATGTTAACACCAGCCACAAAGTTCGGTAATATCGATAACACTAGCTACCGGAAGTTGGCGATATTCAGAGGTCAAAGCCTTAACACCAGCCGATTTAAGGCTGGTGTTAGTATTTATTAAACACTAACACCAGTCTTAAACACCCAACTTAAAATCTCTCTGTGCGTTCAAAATGAGGGTCAATTTGAGTGGTTATCAATTGTAGTGATTAATACATTAGTGATTAAGCATGTTATATACACACACGTCATTGGCCAGTTTAAAAGAATACCCAGTATCATGTGTATACGCCTTCTTTTGGAGTCAACCTTGTTTAGTTTTTAAAATTAACAAGATAATTACGTATTAAATATGCATGTAAGATTCGTTTCTTAAAACCTTTTAAGCGGAAGATTAGTAGATATTTTATTTTCCTTTAAACTGCATTGGGAAATACAGTATTGTAAGCATAATTAACCTATTTACAAAAACAATGGTATGATTTGGCAATATAATTACTTTTTTGGCAGTGCTCATTTACGTATTGATGTAATTGATGTATTAAGAAATAAAATAAGATACACAAAAAATGTCGCTTATCTTGTCTTAATTCTAAAATGCGTCTTCTTTGCCTCTTCGTTCATTTTATTTTGTAATTCATAATTATAATATCCTCATACAGAACTGAATAACGAATGATCAGTTGAAAATTGGTTAAGGCTGTTATAAAAAAGCCTGAAAATAGAAACTCAATACACCCTTCACGATTAAAGCCGTCAATTTAGATTGGGAGTAAACATTGCGTCATCATTTTTTTCAGATGAGCATGCATTGTTGCGTCACTACCTGTGCTGCGCGTTCACATCATTTTGACATGGTCACCATTTTTTTTTTTTTTTTTTTTTTTTTTTTTTTTTTGGGGGGGGGGGGGGGGGGAGTAAACAAGATGTTGACTCGCACTTACAAAAAAATGTCAAACAAATGGCGCCCATGTTGGAGCATGCGCATTATTGTAACCGTTAAAGGGTGTATCACGACACGATTATTTTTAGCATGTTTTATTAAAATCATCAACACTGGATAGAATATTTGTTCTCTTTCATTAAAACAAAAAATGTTAATTCATATTGGGATGAAAGGTATGCAGTAGCATGACAATGTATAGATTATAACAGTAAAGTGGGTATTGAACTCGTGCAAGGGCCTAATCAGTATGTAGGCTGGATATAGATCATGCCGGCAAACGGCAGTTGTAATACTACTTGGTTATCGTCATCGCTTTGCTATTGTATGTGATAACTCTTTACATTTCAGGATCCTCCCCCCCCCCCCCGAAAAAAAAAATAATAAAATAAAATAAATAATAAAAACAATAAAATAAAATAAAACAATAAATAAATAAAATAGGGAGTGGGGGTGAGCTTAGAAGTGGAAGATGAAAGCTCCAGTACATCCTCATATAAATCTTTGCTTTCGCCCTACATAATTTGTCGTACGGTTTTCTTTCTACGGATTAATGATTCATCAAAATAACTGACTCAGAGTAATATTCTATAATCAAACTCCGTTCATTGACAATCAGCCGTGCATGAATTCTTTCGTCTATAGGTGATCTTCAACGAAATGGAGTTAAGTCTTTTGTCAATTCCGGTTGTTGCTACGGCAGGCAGCCAATGAAAACAAATTTGTTTAATCAAATTCTGGAAATGCCAGCACTACTTTGAATTAACAAAACTTTGTTAGTCCTATGATGGCATCACTCATGCATTTTTCGCATACAAAACATATGTTATTTAATATGTTTTATTAAGGCTCAAAACCAGCCCTTTCTAGGGTCATGTGTCATTCGCATTGCCGTGATAGTGTTTAGGGCATTTTTTTGTTCTTCATCACTATAATGTTTAATCATACTATTATGGCATAGACCACATTGGGGTTTTAAGTTTTAACGTAGATTCACATACTACATACATACGAGAACAGTATCGATATTTATTCACTATGCTTCAGGGGACGGGTGGTAAAGAAAGGTTAACCCGTTGACTCCTGAATTGTATAGGTCCCATAGGCCTAGCATGGGGGCCAACAAGTTCCCGTAAGCAAAGGATTAAGAGAAAAGGGAAATGAAAAAAGAGATTGAAGAAACCTGGGTGGGAGTTGATGTGTATGGACTTTGAATGATCCCTTTATACCGGCTTGGAACTAAAACAATGAAACTTTTAGATATAATACTGAAGATCGACCGAGTTTTGAGACTGAAATAAACAAATAGACCCACATTGAATGTCTAAATTTGAAGAAGAAAAAAATCAAGTTTACTTTGCCATTATATATATTTAATTATTGAAATGGATATCTGGTAAGGCTGGATAAAAAAAAGGTATGTTAACTCTTATCGTGCCACAGGGCTAATCACCATTTTCTATCAGGCTATAGTTCATCCAGACGTTGGAAAAAGCCCTCCTCATGAAATTTCCATTCTCTTCTGTCTCTAGCTGTCCTAGTTCAAGCGGCCGTTCCCATGTATGATGTTAGGTCATCTCTCCATCTTCTCTTCTGCCTTCCTCTTCTTCTCTTTCCCACCCTTGGTTGCCATTCTGTTAAACGATTTGTCCATCTATTGTCCTGAAGTCTTGCTACATGCCCAGCCCATCTCCACTTCGACTCTCTGACTTTCTCCATAATGTCTTTAACCTTTGTTTTCTGGCGTATGACTTTGTGGTTGATTTTGTCTCGCAGAGATAAATGCTACATCTTTCTCTCCATAGCTTGTTGAGTAGTCACAAGCTTCTGTTCTAGATCCTTTGTCAATGACCATGTTTCTGATCCATATGTCATGGTTGTTAGAATGTATTGGTTGAACATTCTTCTTCTTGGTGACATGGGTATGTTATTATCGGTCAACATGTCTTTGTATCTTCTAAAGTTCATCCATCCTGCTTTTACTCTCATCATAACATCTTCTTTTGAGGT